TGAGCATGATCATACTGTGCCACGTTTGTGGTGAGCAACCTCTCGGAATCTTGTCCAGGAAGAACATAGTAGGATTGACCACGATGGTGAGCCGCGCCACCGGTCGCCGATGCAGAAAAACCATTGTTAAAACCCTGCTCGAAAGGAGAAGTGAAGGATTTTGTGGCGGGAGAATGTGATGCTGCATTTTTGGGAGGCTGAATGCTGACCCGGTGGTGACCATGTCTCAGAATCGGAGACAACCCGAGCGATGTGAGCGGAGGTGGAGGTGGAATGATTTGTGGTGCTGTCTGTGTTACTGACTGAGAGGTTTGATTGACCTGAAGATATTCACATAGAAGCCCTTTCGAGTGACATCTCTCGCAGATCGTTTGTAGCAGGGGTTTGCACTTGACCTTTCGGCGGCGACAGTTGGTGCATGCTCTGACCGCCCTAGGGCCGTTCCTTGGTTGGGTCTTCGGTCCCATTCCAATCGCGCGGCTTTGAGAAGTGCTACTCTAGTCTTGGAACTGAGGAGGTTAACAGTTTTTAACTATCCTCGTGGCCTCAAATTTGTAACTTGCAGTTAAGTGTATCGTGATCGAAAATTAGGGCAGTGTATACCTCCCTGGTTACTTGTGACATCTAGTAGACGGTAACTACCAATTAGGTGCTCCTAGTGCCGATTGTAGGAAAGGTTCATTGAGCAGCATGTCAATTGAACCTGTGCCTAAAACTTAACACCAGTTGTTTGGAGGTTCGTTTTTCGTCTTTCATGAATAGCAATACCGGGCCGCTAGCGCAAAGAATATATAGGCTAGCTCTGGGGCCCCGCGAACATTAATCAACATTATCACTCTACGGTCTACTCGGGACGACGGAATGTTCTGGGCGCCATGACGCCATGCACCAAAGACTCCAAATCCCTCTTATGTAGGCCTAGTTCTCCGACGATTTTGTATTCTTCCAGCCGATCACTTCAATTTCTCACATACACCCATCCCATTGCATACTCTGGGTGTTCCAAAAAGCATGGCCGTGTTATACAACTTAACGCCACTAGTGGGTCCACGTTCCCGTGTCAGTCGCTTCTCAATGGTATTGAGACTAAAGGGAGTTACGAGGGGTTCAGTCTGTAGCAATTCAAAATAATACCCTATACAAACGGAGAGTCTCGCTATGTAGATATCTGTGCTGAGACATCAATAACCAGTCAGTAGTCAGATATGGGCGAAAATTACGGGCTTTGGACGTTACATGAAGTTCCGAGTTGTTGTAACGATAGGGAGATGTGATATTCTTGTCTAAGCTGTACACTGAAGTATGGATGGGATGTGTTGCCGATAGAAAAGGCGCGCACAACAACCAGACCGCTATACCACTTCTTCCATCTCTGTCCGCTTTACACGTTTATGAGCTCTGGATGCTGACTTTGACTTGATGGTAAGCGAAACGTCAACCTCCATTCAAATGGTGTTCCAGTGACATGTCACTCAGCATGACTAGTCCTATGGAGTGCGTGCATTTGTGCTGTTTCCTTGGTATCCAGAACGCTCACTGATCTGCAACCCTCAGCATCCCAGTTACGTGCTCGCGCTGAAGAATTTCTATATCCCTATATCATGGGGCGGCACTTGCGAAGCGCCCTTAGCACGCTTCCCCTCGGTTGTCGGATAAGTTCAATAAAATCTACTGTCTCCGAAAATCACGGATAGAAACGTGAAGATTGAAGAGATCAATTTACTGGTGGATTGTGTCGTTTTACTGCAAGGCATCCAGAAATAAGGTCGATTTATGAATCCTCTACAACCATTTTTGGTTGCCAGCGGTCCCTGGAACGTAGGGTCGGCGACATGCTACTTATTTGATATAAAGAGCCTTTACCCCTCATCAATCATGTTGTCCAGTTTCCCCCAGCTCTCGTGACCGGGACGTTAGCTGTCTTGAGAATGTAAGAGATGTCTACAAGACGATAACAATGACTATATCGTAGTTGAGGTATATGAGGAACTTACGGTGTCCCTGGCATGCATTAGGATGACCATCAGTACTTCTTGTACCCAACCAGAGCTGCCAACACGACTCTGGAGTTATGTGTTCTGTATTTCTCAGGTACTCGAGAGGAATCTTATCATGCAGCGGTTGCTTCGTATGTGGTCCTACAGTATGAGTTGTGGTTGTGCCAATTTATATCGTTGTCGGATCCCTGTTATAACGGTACACTTAGGTATTACAATATCTATCGTCGTTGTATGTGTTACACTGGAGAATATCTTTGATGTTTTCATTATAGCCTTAGGTCGAGTAGCACACAATTTAACAAGATATCCAAAAGATATCCAAATCGAAGGTTTTATTATGATCATTTCCATTGCACTCGCCGAGTGAATCGGGATATATTGTTCAGGTTTCATAACAAAAAACGCTTTGAACACCACGAACGCCACACGGAACTGGCTTTGTAGCAGCTGAGGGAGTTGAGGGCTCCGAAGACTTGGATCCCGGATTACCAAATGGTGGAGAGCCATAAATCATCCGAAGACTTGTTGGGCGTACCGCTGTCGAGATCATGATGATGCTGAATTTGATTCCCGAGAAGGCAAGGATGAACAGGTGATACCACCTCTTCGCGTCACATTTCACACCTGTAAAAGCTGTGAAAATGGTACATATGCTGACCTTTGAAGCTTAGCTTGACGATCGGGAATTGCTTCCGTGACCGGATAATCTCGCACACGTCTCTATTCGGAAGATTATCCGGATTAAGTGAGGTGGGAGGTGGGTCAATGCGTGGAAATGCTCCCATTTCCATAGTCATGAAAATGCGCGACAGCTTAACGACTCGGAGCCGTGCGTTATATGTTGCACCTACACGATTCAACGTGGATTCAAGAATATAGCAACCGGTAGTAATGGTTATGATATTGAATGGGGGGCGCTCGTCAAATAGGGAAGGACCCTAGCGATTGAATAGGTAAGATGCCTCATCGGCTCACCGTCATGATGTCGAGCGGCCGTAGCAGTGGCGGAAAAGGATCTCGGAGAAGAAACGGGCATAGAAGGCACCACATCATTTTGTGGTGATGTGACATATGTCGATCATTTCAGGTTTTTCTTAAGAATACAGAGGTCCAAAACACTGGTACCCCAGCTCTTCTTGCGTTTTTTTGGCGCTGTGTTCTATCTACTCTCGGAGGGTCTGCCGCTATGTATCAAGAACTGGGGCTAGAACCGACCCCACTCTTTGCAGTCATGTCGGGCAGTGTCTATCACAATATGCCTTGAACTGGAGAAAGGTGAAGATTGGATTTCACGTATTGTCCCTCGTGCTCACAGTAAGAGTAGGTTCTATTCTCGGCGAGTGCAAGTTTTCCGTACCAATGTCGAGATGTAGCTTTACAAAATTCAGCCAATATCTCTTTATGCACTGACCATCCGTGTGAATCGGCATTGTGAGTATAGTGGCATTTCAGGATGAATATCTATCTATAACAAACTTCTGGAATCCTTGGTGAGCCTTCGGCGATCAATGCACGCTAGAGTTCATGTAAATTCAGCTGCTAATGAATGGTTGTCCTAGCTGATTCTATACCCACCTTGAACCTTGATCAAACCGCGCCACATGGTCAAGGTTGAGAAGAAACTGAAGGCTAATTGTAGCCGTATAAGGATGAATACACTGCTCCCTGATAGTGTATGGGTTAATTCTGATAGTGCAAATTCCGTTTCTGGGTTCGACTCCCACTCAGGGAGATTCCAATGATTTATGTTAGGACATTTTGGTTGATGGTCATAGGTTGTGCTTTTAGGAGGCTAGTTCGAAGCTAAGTAGTCCCTTTCATCTATAAATTTGATCTTGGTGAAAATCGATATACTTTTGGCGTAGTTGTAAATATCATTAGCCATCGACTCTGAGATGTATTTTACGCACTAGATTTAGTACAGCGTCCTGTTCCTCTGGGTCTTATCGAGTCTGCCCCGAGTCAAGCTGCATTGCTGATTTGGTTCTCGGTTGTAGCAGGGCGGAAAGATGTTTAGTGTGAATGGGCATTGATATGCTCAGTCCAAGAACACGTTACGTGAATAGCATCTCAACAAGCTGGTCTTTGGAGCTGGCCTTTTTCGTGGTACAACTAAGAAGGATTAGTATCAGTACATCTCGCCCGACTCCCTGGTAGTGTATGGGTTTGTCCATGTGGCAGCCGAAGCCTGATCGCGTAGAGGCTGGGTTCGACTCCCAGCTGGGGAGATGATATGTGATCTTGCTGGTTTTTTGTGGTTAGCAGCCATACCTCGGCGAATCTTGCAACGAGCTTGTGAGAAGTGCTACATTTCGAAGTTCCGTAGTCTGCAGTTCCGTTTATAATATTGAACATTGGTTACAAGGAGGCCTGAGTATATCGTGTCGTTCCGCTGGATCTTATAGGGCTTCCCGGGCTGAACCCTACAGTGGAATCGTTCAACTACGACACTTGTTCGCAGCTATAACGGGACAATCAAATCCGTGACCTGCCAGCTATGTCGGTTTATACCTGTAGCCTAGCTCGGCTTTCTATTTGGCAGAGAGCCAAGACAAGATGTATAGGCGGAAATCTCCTAGTAATTACAGGTTGCGTAGCTATAAATACTCGCCTTCTTCCTTCGTGCGTGTTGGGCACGCAACATGAATGTAATGATTATCAAGCTTCGTTGGATCAACAAACGAAGCATACATACGCTTCTACATCACTTTGATGAACCCCAGAGATAACGGCGGTCGGATTGTGACCGATTAAAGGCTGGCCGCTGGCGCTATCTAGACGTCAACACGTGAGCTTTTGGAAGTAGAGATCCCAAATGTATGGGAGATCAGTGAGCTGTATCAGTTGTTTTGCCGTAGGACTGTGCGGTGTGCGTGTCTCAATGGGGAGTGAAAGGAGAATTCCGGAAGTCTCCGGGTCGATTCCCCATGGACGACTGTAGCTGTGAATGTTTGTTATCAGTAGTCTATAGTAGATACTGCGCAAAATACCTAGAGCACTTCCCTGGTAGTATATCGGTTAGTACACGCGCCTGTCATGTGCCAAAATATCTCCGCCAGGCCGCGCGAAAGCTGGGTTCGACTCCCAGCCAGGGAGTCGCACGTTCGAACTCGACGTTTTCTCGTTCGTGAGCGCTAATTTGGATTTTTGGCTCGGCCGAAAGATGCAAGGCATGTCACAGTGTCACCTGTGACAAACACGTTTCTGCTCTGCTCCTTCATGTTCCCAGTTCGTCAAACCTTTTTTTCCTGCGTTCGTTGACTTGGAGAACAGGACTATGGATGTTCAAAATACATCAGGTATTTTATCAAGTCTTTTTCGTCGTGCCAGTGTCATTGATACTGATGTTGTTTTTATAGGATATAGCAGCTTGCCGCCAGCTACGACTTGGAGATGAAGGGGTTTGTATATAGGGTGAAAGGTACGTTATCCTCTTTCTTTCATCGACGTAGCTAAACTTCGCCTGGCAGCTAGACCGAAGACTACTGCTCGTACATCGACCTCGCGAGAGCCATTGGACTTCCCCCTTTCCCCTACTCGATGAACCGCTTGGTCACGTCCTTCCGCATGCAACTCCTGGTCAGGTTACCCCACCCCAGCTACCACCCTAGCTGACCTCGTTCGGATATAGAGAACATCAGTGAAGGCTACCCTTTGTAGGACAGAAGCCGATATATTGCTAGGCGAAGAGTTGCTGGGAACGGAGAAGTGTTAAAAGGAATGGAGACTGTTACCCCCAACCACTCGATGAATGCCAGAAGCAGTTAACACGGCTCACTAACGACGAGATTAAACCTCTCGCCCTACCTCGCTCATCGCGTACAATATCCCCTTCTCAGCCCTCCCGCTCTTACATTTCCACTTTCTCAGCGCTCGCCTCGAGCCTGTAAAATCCTGTCCTTTGAATGCCTCATCACACCTCTTTTCTCCCCACTGTCTGTCGAGGATACCCCCCTGTTACAGAATCCTTTACGGCTTCGCCGTTCTTTACTTAACATACACCCTTCACCGTTCCGAACATCCTTTCGCCGCCCACCACTTCCCCCGCCTCACTTTGCACACATTCGACATCGCCTGTGCTCTATACCACACTGTTATCGTTCCCATCTCAACGGTTTGGTGAATGACGTGTATGGCGCCGTGCTCTACACCCGAATCGAAATCGTCTCCTTGCACTGTTATCGGTAATTGAGCTTTCGATGACATGCTTGCCTTCTCCCGTTCATCCTATTCGATCCCTGTACCACACCCCTGTATCACCCCTTAGCCCATTAGTGCGAGGTGATGGCATGTATATGACATCTCCCATGCATATACTCTTTCACCAGCCTCTACCACGGTCGTCCTATCTTCCTCTTTACGACCGTCTTTCATAATCGAACTTACAAACTCTCTACGCGTGCCGCGTTTCGGTAAGAATAGAAGTGGGGGAGACATGTCGTAACTATGAGTGTTAAAGTGTTCAAAAAATAAATCAGGTCCCCGGTAATAATTTTTCAGTTCCCCGGTAATATTTTACCTACTTTCATATGAGTGTTAAAGTGTTCAAAAAATAAATATCGTCCCCGGTAATAATTTTTCGCTCCCCCGGTAATAATAAACATACTTTTGTGAGATTCCAGTACATTACGCCCCCCGTAAATAACATAGAAATCCCCCGGTAATAACACTCTTCGACGAAACACCGCCCGGTAATAATCGGCTATTTCGGCAAAGTGCTTTCCCACGCACGTGGCCTATGTCGAACACATCTTGAACATATCCTCTGTGCTCAGGCAAAATGATCTATACTCAACTGAGTATAGGATTTGGTCCAGGATATATCCAAGCACTTGAATATGCAATATCTAGTAGTCCCTGATGTGTAGATTATAGACCATAGCCACGTACTTTATTTTCACACATATTTCAGTGTCGTTCAGAAAGCCAGCTCGCCTCTTGAACGTGATTCACTAAGACTATTATTACATTCTGACGAGTCATCATCAAGTATGTTGAGTATGAAATCAAACGTGGCGTCTCATGCATGATCTCATGAGTCGTAATGGTACATTTCAATAGGAGCTTTCCCACGCTTTGGCACGCTATCACACATATTCAGCTGCGTTCAAGTAACTGCGTCGCTGCTCAGGCAAAATTCGGTATGAAGGGTGTAGAGCTTGGCATAGAGTATGTATGAATATCCTCATATGCCAGTTTCAGTAATGATGGAAGGCGATCTTGATATGTTGAGCGTGGACACTGTCGTTAGTTAGGCGAATGGGTGTTGTTCAACATTCAACATCATCTCATTCTTCAGTGGATAGTTAGCCGTAGCATCTAGCAACTTTATCTATCTGTCTACCTGTAGTACGACCCCTGCGCTGATCAAGTTGGTCCACAATAGGTTTCTAATATCTAATATCTAATATCAGTGAATACAAGACTGTCAGTCTTGTATTCAGCATTCGTCAATGGAGTCCTTGAAAATGTCATAGCATCACAATTAGGTGCCTATATCAGGGCTCACAGCAATTTCAACACTACTCAGTACATTACCTTATATGCAGCCATGTAGTAATGTTATTACCATTGTTTTGATCCTCACTAATGTCTCGACTCACCACAGTATACCTAGATAGTTGTACATATTAAAGCTCTCGAGAGTTATTTTCAGGCTACAAGTTACAATGATAAATTCAAGTTGTCTATCATTTCTGGACCCTAATTGAAAATAGCTCAATTGAACTCTTCAAGCATTGATTCGTATTTTCCCATAAACTAATGATATAAAGGTATCTACTACCATTTTAATTGTCAGTATAATTGTACGGGAGACTCCATACTCCTGCAAGTTTGACGAAGGTACCAAGAGCACTTTCCCCAACTTGCCGTATCCGATGGCAACTCTGGTCAACACTCCCATCGTGACTCAAGTACTCATGAGGCGCCACGGTCACTCCCATACAGTACTCAACGTACTCAACAATGAAAATGCAATAATTTTACCATTGCGTCATGTTCAAGAGGCGAACCAGCTTTTCTAATGATGCTGAAGGCCTTGTTTATGTCGCTTTCAGTAGGTCACACAAAAGTACGTCGCTATGGGCCATGCTCTACACCTCAGAAACACAAGATATTGCATATTGAGGTACTTGAATATATCATAAATCAAATTAAATACTCAGTTCAGCTTAGATCATTTTGCCTGAGCACAGAGGATATGTTCAAGATGTGTTCGACATAGGCCACGTGCGTGGGAAAGCACTTTGCCGAAATAGCCGATTATTACCGGGCGGTGTTTCGTCGAAGAGTGTTATTACCGGGGGATTTCTATGTTATTTACGGGGGCGTAATGTACTGGAATTTCATGAAAGTAGGTAAAATATTACCGGGGAACTGAAAAATTATTACCGGGGACCTGATTTATTTTTTGAACACTTTAACACTCATACGTAACATCTAGGAACGTTTTATGTGAGTACCTTCTCCCTGATCCTTGCGGGTGTGGCGATGTACTGATGTTGTATTTCGTTAGTTCTGATCACGCGAACTCTCCCTCACACCATTGCTTCCACATACCCCCGCGATTGCCTCAATTACCGCTCTAGCGATGTAAACATGTGGTTCGCGCCTTCTATGACGTACATAGAGAAGGATGTATTCATACAGGGGAAACGCGGGATGTAACGACGTTGGGGGTCAGAGTGGAGATTCACGCTACTCCTATGATATTCGTCTGTTCCGATCTTTACTCAACCACTCGACTGCTTTTTTATTTCGATCTACAGAGTTTCAATATGATTCTTGTCGCTACTTTCATTGGCTTTTGTCTGCTCTATCCTGCAAGTTTGCTTTACGACTCTAACGGCGGTATGCTGGGTTGAAACGTCAAGTGGTTCTACGCCGAATGATGTTTCCTCTGAAGTGCTCTCGAGACCCCCTAGATCTACTTATGTTCGTTACCCCAGGGCACGTCACTCATACTCGGAATCCTCAGTCTTTACAGATTCAGCGTTCACACCTTGAGTTCGGAGCGAGTTTAGCAGACGCATGTCGACATATTTTGACGTGTTTCCTATTCTGTTATATCGTTCATCAACCTATTGCTCGCAGACTGTGATACTCTCTAGTCTGTGGACTGGCGAGGACGTGTTATTCCACAGCGGTATTCGTACTCATGGCGCTCCTACCGCATCAATGACATGGAATTCATTATTCATATCAATTCTATCACACTGTACCTGACTCGTTATCTCCGCTGATCTTAAAGTTCATCTATGGTCAATACAAATAACAATCTGAATCCGAATCCGAGATTTGATTGCTCTGCGTCACAATCACATGTCTTGATCTTCAAATCCAATCGTTTGGAGCGCCCTAATCTGGCACATTAACATTATCCCTTAAAGAATTTGCAAAGGAGTAGGTCTGGATGGTATAAGTAGGCCAGGGAAAACCTTTCGAACTCTGGGCCTAGCTTCTGCTCACGCCCACGTTTCAGACTGGGTTTCACGGGTCATTCCCCAGGTGACCCGTCACAATATCACTGCAAAAACACTTGCATAGTGGTAAAAATCTACGCTGGGGGGTCTGGAGCGGTTAGAGCCGACTAGAACTGAGCGCTAATGTAGTGAAAAGCAGTGTGGCTGTACCCTGATAACCTTGGCTGGTTATATGCACACTGCACTCCACATATTGAGAGTGGCGGAGGCATGTTGAACTACATAGCCAATACACACCGCTCGTCTTGCCAAGTAACATGGAAAAACATATATAAGGATGGTTTTACATTGGTCCTTCAGTATCCAACAGCTTACAATCCCTTCTCAGCTCTACTCTAGTCATGAAGTTCACGACCATCTTCCTTACTCTCGCCGCCGTCGCTATCGGTGTCCTTGGTGCACCCACGGACACTTCCGACGACGAGTTGAACGTTCTCACCAAACGTGAGACTTCATACGGGAACCCAGACCTTGTAGTTGACCAAGGTGATCGATGGAAGCTGAACTTTGGGTCTACCAAAGGTCATCCAAACGCTTGTCCTGGACACTGTAAGTGTTTCAAGAACTCGGGATTTCATGAACCACGAACTCATAATGACATTTGCCTGTAGACATTTGCTATATACCCAAGAAAGGCAATCGTCACGGTGACAAGAGCTGGGGTAACCCCGACAACATGGTAGACGAAGGGTAAGTTCGTCCGCTGTTCTTGACTTTGGTGTACTACTGACTCTACAAACGTAAAGGAACCGTTGGCGCTTCAACTACGGGAAAGCAAAGAATAACCCATGTGGAAACCACTATATCTGCTATTACAACAAGTAACTGCGTGGACTCGAAGTCGGGGTGGACTTGGTACCGACTATTTATTAGTGATGCTATTTAATACGATGTACTACAACTCGAGAAGAATGTATGAGCTTTAACACATCTATTGACGCATAAAATGGGCCGGACAGAAGGTCTTTATATGTTGAGCTATCGACATATTACTCGCAGATTGATTCTAGGGCTCTATTGTACTCAATATGCTTGATGTGGCGCTCCTCCTACACCCATGGGACGAATTACCAATTGACAATGATTACACCATCAAAGCTATCCCACTACACCTCATTCTGCTGGTCTATGGTGTTTAGATGCCGCCCTATGGGGTAATGTAGCGAGTATGGCTTTGCTTCGCGTCCTGATTGTGATCTTTAAATCGCTCTAGAACATTCGGAACGCCCATAGTTCTTCTGTTCCGCGTTATACGATCATACAATCTACTGTTTGTGCTAGATATGGTTCGATCTCTTGTCGCAGAGGCTGCAGATAAATATGAAAAGAACGAGTAGATAGTGTCAAGGTTTAGAAATCTCGCTAGTACCATAATGAGACTGACACGATCGATCAACGAGGAACCTTCGATGGAATTGTCCAAGACGAATTACATAGAGGTAGTATGCAGGGCGCACCATGTCAATTGCGAGCGGTAAGGCCTTTCACACTCTCAGCCTAGCCCTCTGCTGAGGGATCGACTACGAGCGCCCACGTTTCAGAATGGGTTTCACGGGTCATTCCCCCAGGCGAACCGTAACGATATCACTGGGAAGCACTCGCCTTCTGGTAAGCATCTACGCTGGGATGTCCTTGGGATCGGGAGTGGTTAGCGCCGACTGGAAATGAGTACTAATGCAATGAAAAGTAGTGTGGCTGTACGTACATTCGCATCAGTAGGGATACGCGCACTGCACTCCAGATATTCATTAGTGCGTGTTGAGCGATTATTGAATGGTGTATAGCCGATAGACTCATAATTAGAGAGCCGAGGCGTATTGATTTGCATAGCCAGCGCCGCCTGCCACTGGCCAAGTCGAATATCAAATTGCATATATAAGGACGGTTTCGCCATACAGTCGTTCAGTATCCAACAGCTTACTACTGTATTCCTTCTCAGCTCTTCTCCAGCCATGAAGCTCACGACTATCTTCCTTACTCTCGCCGCTATCAGTGTCCTTGGTGCACCCACGGACACTCCAGACGACGAGTTGAACGTCCTCACCAAACGTGAGACGTCGTATGGAAACCCTGACCTTGTAGTCGACCAAGGTGACCGTTGGAAGCTGAACTTTGGGTCTACCAAAGGTCACCCAAACGCTTGTCCTGGACATTGTGAGTATCCTCAAGGTATTTTTGGGAAACTAATCGCCGATATTTGGTTGTTAGACATTTGCTACATCCCCAAGAAAGGCAATCGTCACGGTGACAAGAGCTGGGGTAACCCCGACGACATGGTTGATGAAGGGTAAGGCTTCTATCTCCTGTTCGCGAATTCGGTTGGTTGCTGATCCTAATTCGAACACGAAGGAACCGTTGGCGCTTCAACTATGGAAAGGCGAAGAATAACCCATGCGGAAATCACTACATCTGCTACTACAACAAGTAATTGCGAGGACTCGAGACCGGGTTGGATCTAGTACCCGATATTTATTAGTGATGATATTTAATGTGATGTACTACAATTCGAGGAGAATGTGTGAGCTTGAATACATTGATTGACGCGTAAAATAGGCTAATACAGAAGGTTTTGATGTATCGACATGTTAGTCCCAGATCGACATCATCTCCGAGTCTGAACCGAAGTTTGGTACCGGATATTTAGTACAAGAGCTTCTCTTGGGTACTTTTATACCTGACACCTGAACAGTCGATAGAGACGTCGAAGGAAATTGAAGTCTATGACCCCAATCGGGTGGAGCATCTCCTAGTGGGGGTATTTCTATGGCAGATGGTTGATCGTTGATGACACTTAACTAGGTGAAGCAAAATGATACCATAATATTTCAGTGTTAGCATAGATAGAGGATAATGCACTCAGGCTTCCAGCCGATTAGAGTTGCCGTTTTGTTCCATCTATCGTGTCTGCTAATGCCTTTGGTAGAATTTCCCGGCTATGTACCTTGATATGGTCGATTTGAAGCTTTGGATATCAGCGCAGCCATCATGTGAGATCCTGATTTACGACTGACAGGTACTGCTTGGAACAGTTTCAGCATAACCTGTTTGAGCGCCCATATGGAAGAAATATGGTTCTACATCTCCAGCTCGTGATTGAAGTGGCGTGGCAGACTGCAGCAGGGCGAGGGGAAAGCGAAGAAGCAGCTCATCTTCTTCGGTTGCAGGCAAGTTAAAGCCAGATCACAAGGACACACACATACACTTAAGTTGGATTATGCCTGGACCGTCCCGAATGTTGCGTAGTGATAGATAGGTTCAGCATTCATTGTCCTTCCCTGAAGCAGTTGTATACTGTTTAGCGTGCCGTCGATTTGTTATTTTGGCGGTCGGCTAGAAGCTTCGTTGCACATATGTTATGGATCTGTCCTGTGCTTCTTTGATGCCAGATAGTCAGACTTCTCGAACACATATGATGGGGAAAGTTGTGACTGTAGTTCAATCCCTGGTAGTATATCGGTTAGTACACGCGCCTGTCATAGTGAAACGTGCCGACGGCCGCGCGAAAGCTGGGTTCGACTCCCAGCCAGGGAGATGCGCGTATAGTGCTTTTTGCGCTAATTCGAAATTTTGATCCGGCCGAGTCACTATGCATGTCACTGTGACATGTGTGACAAACACGGTTTTCCTCTTCCTCCAGTGTCCACGTTACCTGTTTGCCAAAGTCCCTGTCACTGCGCGCGCGCGTCAGGGTTATGGATAGCTAGGATATCAGGTATGTATACCTTCACGCCGTCCTCGTTCTGTCACTGAAAGGGGCTGCCTTTAGGATAGGATACACTGATATACCGCCAACCACGGCATGAAGCGCTGAAGGATGGGTAGTTTGGATATGGGATCTACAAACGGGGGTGAAAGGTACGTTCTCCTCTTTCCTTCGTTGACGTGTCTAACGCTTGCTTTGCGTAGGACTCCCGTACACACTCACACTCCCATTCCTGAGCTGGACCAAAGACCCTCGTACATCGATCTAGCCAACCTCATCGGGCTCGTTCCCCGCTACCATATCCGACTATAATGTCAATGAAGGCTCGCCTTTGTACGGACAAGAAGCCGATTTATTGCCGGGAGAAGAGCTGCTGCGAATGAAGAAGCCCCTCGATGTTCACCAGAAACCGTCCACCTCCACGTCGCCCAATAGCGACGAAATATACCCCCTCTCCCTATCCCATCGTGCAGAGATGCGTTGTGGCATCACCTACGCTTCCTTCCATGCATCCTTTCGTCACAACTTGGGCCCCTCCATCCCTCACTTGTTCACGCAGCCACCTATACATTCTCGCCGTTCTCGTCCACACTTCGGATGCCTCTCCATCTACCCTCACCGCTCCTATTCGAAGACAGCTCGATGGATGTCCTATACAGGATCACGTTTGTGGACACCTTGGTTCACCCCTTCCGTCTTCTCGCCCATTCTTCCCCGCCACGGTAGGCTACGTCAGCTCTGGCTGTCCCTAATCAAGGCGAACGAAATGGGCGAAACCGTTCTCTTCAAAACCGCCTCCTTGCGCTCTTATCACGATCTGCGCTCCCGATGTCATACCCCCTCATCATATGCGCTTCCTGTGCCCAGGGTATCCTCCTTTGTACGCCCCCTTAGCCCGCTCTCTCCATCCCAGCTTTGGTGAGGTGGTTGTGAGAGATGTATACGACAACTCTTCTCCCCTTGGTCAGCCACTGCCTGGGTCGTCTTCTTGTTTAAGACCGTCTTTCATAACTGTTGGCGCTCTCACTCCTTATGCCTCGTGAAGGTAATACCGCGTCTCGGTCGGAGTAGGAGGAGGCGAGGTGCGGGTGTATCTGAGAATGGGTGAGTAATTCTCTGCAGGCTCTGTGTTTGTGGCAAGGGACTGATATCGTGTTTGGTCAGTTCCCATCACGCGAACTGTTCTTCCCCATCACTCCTCTATACCCCCAGGCATGGAACCCGTTCGGTTCCTTGTACCTTTACGCATCCTTTTACGCCGAAAGATCCATTGAGCGCCTTAGGAATTCAAAGATTACCCCCCCTCCAATGCTGCCCCTCGTTCCACGGTTTGAGGTGATGAACCGTTCGGGGCGTACGGGGAGAATGTTATGTGAGTACCTCCGAGTCTCGCTATGATCGTGGTTCTGATGCTTAACCTCGTTCTTTTGTGATAGGTTTATTCTGCTTTCTGCTGCATATTCGTACCTCTCCGGTGGCAAATCGGCCCCATGCACTCCTTCCGTTTTGGGCTGGCTCTTCTGTCGAGTCACAGAAGCAAGCGACGTAAAACTTTGAAGCATGGGTCTTCCTCGTGGCTTGCGCATGGAGAGTAGGCGGAGGAAACGCGGCACCTGTTAGGTGTCGAGGATCGGAGCGGAGATTCACACCGACGTTCCGAATACCTATTTTCGTCGTTCCTTGAATCAGAGACCATTGTTCCACTGGAGTAGTTGTAGAAGATGCCTTTTAGGGTCAAGGGAATACCTTGACGTTTACTAGTGAGGACTCGAGATACAAACCAATAGAGTATCTAGCTTTCTTACCTGTGTTTACTTCCAGGAATCTTTCCGATGGAGAATCTGCGACAATGAAAGCGATTCATTCTTAGTGCTGCTATCTTTGGGTGCCGTTCATCTGCTCTATCCCACAGGTTTACGAATCATTCAACCGCCAGTATACAGAGCCGACAAGTCAAAGTACTTAACGCAGTTTTCCGCCGTGTTATTTCCTCTGGCGTCCCCTAAATTTACTTCTGTTCATTACCCCAGGGGACGTCATTCATACTAGGGAGGTATCGTTCAAACGCTCGAATCCAATACCGAGAAAGACTACTCTTCAGTCTGTACAGATTCGAAGTTCATGCCTTCAGTTCGGAGCGAATTTAGGATGTTCTGACATGCTTCCTATTCCGTGATACCGGTTGGAGGAACATCAACATGGTGATACTCTCCTCTCTAGTCCGTGGACTCGCGAGGACGTGTTCTTCTAAAGCACCATTCATACCCCATCATTGACATGGATTTCGATATCAATGATATCCTAGTACACCTGACTCTTTATCTCTGCTGATTTTGGAGTTCATCTATATGGTCAATACAAATCACAATCCGATTTGGATAGATCCCGAGTCCGAAATTTGGTTGCTTTACTTCACATTCTTATCTTGATCTTCAAATCCAATCGTTCGGACTCGGAGCGCCCTAATCTGGCACATTAACCCAGACACTTGCAAAGCGGGATGTCTGGATGGCATACGTAGGCGTACTGTGCCAGGTAAAGCATTTCGAACTCTAGGCCTAGCTTCACGCTTACGAAAACCTAACAGCGCCCACGTTTCAGAGGGAGTTTCACGGGACATTCCCCCAGGTGACCCGTCACGATAACACTGCGGAGCACTCGATTGGTGGTAAACATCTACGCTGGCGGTTAGAACCGACTGTAAATGAGCGCTAATGTAATGAAAGCAGCGTGGCTGTACCCTATTACCCTTGGCTGGTTATGTGCGCACTGCACTTCGAATAATGAGAATGGCGGAGGCATGTTGAACTACATAGCCAATACACACCGCTCGTCTTGCCAAGTAACATGGAAAAACATATATAAGGATGGTTTTGCATTCGAGTCTTTCAGTATCCAACAGCTTACTACTGTATTCCTTCTCCGCTCTTCTCCAGCCATGAAGTTCACGACCATCTTCCTTACTCTCGCCGCCGTCGCTATCGGTGTCATTGGTGCACCCACGGACACTCCCGACGACGAGTTGAACATTCTCACCAAACGTGAGACGTCGTATGGAAACCCGGACCTTGTAGTCGACCAAGGTGATCGTTGGAAGCTGAACTTTGGGTCAACCAAAGGTCATCCGAATGCTTGTCCTGGACACTGTGAGTATTTCAAGAACTCGGGATTTCACGAATCACGAACTCACAATGACATTTGCCCGTAGACATTTGCTATATACCCAAGAAGGGCAATCGTCATGGTGACAAGAGCTGGGGTAACCCCGACAACATGGTTGATGAAGGGTAAGCTTGTCAGCTGTTCTCGACTTTGGTGCATTGCTGACTCTCCTTCGAACATGAAGGAACCGTTGGCGCTTCAACTACGGCAAAGCAAAGAATAACCCATGCGGAAACCACTATATCTGCTACTATAACAAGTAACTGCGTGGAATTGGTACCGGATATTTATTAGTGATGATATTTAATGCGATGTACTACAACTCGAGAAGAATGTGTGAGCTTGAATGTATTGATTAATGCGTAAAATGGGCCAGACAGAGGGTCTTGATGTGTTGAACTGTCGACATGTTACTCGCAGATTGCATTTCCTCAAACCTTGGACGAAGTAGCGATAACACACTATTCTAATTTCTAAGGCTCTATTGTACTCAATATGCTTGATGTGGCGTCGTTCCTACATTTATGGGACGAGTTGCCAATTGATAATGATACACCATCAAAGCTATCCCACTAAATTACACCTCATCCTGCTGGTCTATGGTGTTTAGATGCCGCCCTATAGTTGATCTAGAATAGTGTAACGAGCCTGAGTAGGTATTGCTTTGCCTCACGTCCTTATTTTGAGCTTCAAATGGGTCTAGAATATTCGGAACGCCCATAGTTCTCCTGTTCCGCGTTATACAATCATACAATTTACCTTCCGTGCTGAACATGGTTCGATCGATACGAAAGAAAGGAAGAGACAGGAGGCTTGCAATTACGATGATGAGTCTGACACAATTAATCAACGAGAACACTTCAAAGGAAGAGTGAGACAAATCACACAGACGTGTTATGTACAGGTATGCCATGTCAATTGCGAGTGATTCTCGGCCCTCTGCTCACGGATCGACTAACAGCGCCCGCGTTTCAGAATTGGTTTCACGGGACATTCCCTCAGGCGACCCTTAAAGATATTACTGAGAAGCACTCGCCTTGTGGTAAGCATCTACGCTGGGATGGGCTTGGGGTCGGGACTGGTTAGAGCCGACTGCAAACGAGCGCTAATCCAATAACAAGTGGTGTGGCTGTACCAACATTTACCTTAGTCGGGTATATACGCACTGCACCCCAGACATTCATTAGTGCGTGTTGAGCGTTTGTTGAACGGTGTATAGCCAGTAGACTCATAATTAGAGTGCCGAGGCATATTGATTTGTATAGCCAGCGCCACTTGCCACTTGCCAAGTCGAATATCAAATTGCATATATAAGGATGGCTTCTCGCCAGTCATGAGTATCCAACAGCTTACTGTATTCCTCCTCAGCTCCTCTCAAGTCATGAAGTTTACAACCATCTTCCTTACCCTTGCCGCCGTCGCTGTCGGTGTTATTGGCGCTCCTACCGACACTCCCGACGACGAGTTGAACGTCCTCACCAAACGTGAGACTTCGTACGGAAACCCAGATCTTGTAGTGGACCAAGGTGACCGTTGGAAGCTGAACTTTGGGTCTACCAAAGGACATCCAAACGCTTGTCCCGGACACTGTAAGTATCACAAGTGTATTTCGAGACACTAACGGCTAACGTTTGTTTGTTAGACATCTGTTATATTCCGAAGAAGG